TGTGTGTGTGTGTGTGTGTGTGTGTGTGTGTGTGAGTGAGACAGAAGAGAGAGAGAGAGAGAGAGAGAGCATGTAATAGTATAGTAAAGTGTCATGTCTCACACTATGTTGACAGATGCACGGAGGACGGATGCAACGAAGGGTTCACCACAAACTCCAACTTGAAGAAACATATTTCATGTATTCACACAAGAGACAAAACAATACATAGTAAGTAAATGTAAACGCATTTAGCCACAAAAAAGTATATGGTATTTCTGAGGACTGAATTAAATGTCTGCACTCAAATGTAAGTGATGGTTACATTCAAGATATATTTAAACACCATTTTGCTGGAAAACCACACTCACTGACTGATGCAACAATATTCACTACAAATACTTGCAAGGCCTGAAAACACACACATCTGAGATACACAAACGAGTAGCAAGTAACACTTGTGTCAACTGAAATTGTATTACCATACAGTAATGTTAAGGGTTGTATGTGATTTTTGTTGATGTTGTTGTCTTCGTAGTTGTAATGTTTTTTCCCCCTAGTGTACATTTGAAGGATTTGAGAAAGCGTTAAAAAAAGTAACTAGCTGAAAACCCATGAGTGTGCACACACCCAGCTGCTACCTTTCTTGTAAGACTTCTTTTTACATTGGTTTGTTTTATGTCTCTGTATTTTGTCATTAATGAGCTCTCTTGCGGTAAATGAGCATATTATAACGCTCGAGTTAGAACTGTGTGTGTCCGATTCCCTTCAGGCTCTGATCCTCAGGTGTTCACATGAAGGCTGCGCGAGACGGTTTTCACAATGTGGTAAAAAGAAGCGCCATGAGAAGGTACATAAAGGTATTGTTCTGTTATATAAGCTTATATATAAGTATTCTGATCCCATACAGTAGCTTTCTGAGGCGTAACAAGTACAAATGTCAGCATATTTGATTGGAACACAAGATTATAGTACTTTTCATGTCATTAGATCACGTATACGGTGACAGAGAAGTGCAAAACAAATCACAATTCTGAAAA